ATTCCCGAGGGAACAGGGAGAGCCATTCCCGAGGGAACGGGGAACGGAATTCCTGAGGGAACAGGGAACGGAATTCCCGAGGGAACAGGGAACGGAACTCCCGAGGGAACAGGGAATGGAATTCCCGAGGGAACAGGGAGAGCCATTCCCGAGGGAACAGGGAATGGCATTCCCAAGGGAACAGGGAACGGAACTCCCAAGGGAACAGGGAATGGAATTCCCGAGGGAACAGGGAGAGCCATTCCCGAGGGAATCCCCCCCAGGCCCAGCCCATCAGCCCCAGTCCTGCCATCCCAACGGATCCTGAAGGGAATTCCCCCTCCTGGGTCCCCTCCTGTCCCCCCGGATCCGCACGGATCTCCCCATTCCGGGCTCTCTCCCCCTGGATCCAGCTCCTTTCCCAGACTCCTGGGATTCCTGTGCTTCCAAACCTTTTTCCAGGTGCTCCTCCTGTCCCCTCCTGTCCCCTGGGTCCCCTCCTGTCCCCCCATATCCCCCCTATCCATTCATCCCCCCGTTCTCCCCGTTCCGGGCTCTCCCCCTGGATCCAGCCCCTCTTCCCACTCCAGCCATTCCCATACTTCCAACCTTTTTCCAGGTTCTCCTCCAGGCCCCTCCTGTCCCCTGGGTCCCCTCCTGCCCCCCCATATCCCCGTTTATCCCCCCCATTCTCCCCATTCCGGATCCAGCCCCTTTCCCAGACTCCCGGCATTCCCGCGCTTCCCAACCTTTTTCCAGGTGCTCCTCCAGGCCCCTCCTGTCCCCTGGGTCCCCTCCTGTCCCCCTATATCCCCCATATCCATTTATCCCCCCGTTCCCCCCATTCCAGGCTCTCCCCCTGGATCCAGCCCCTCTCCAGCCATTCCCACACTTCCAACCTTTTTCCAGGTACTCCTCCAGGTCCCCTGGGTCCCCTCCTGTCCCCTGGGTCCCCTCCTGTCCCCTGGGTCCCCTCCTGTCCCCCCATATCCCCCATATCCATTCATCCCCCCGTTCTCCCCGTTCCGGGCTCTCTCCCCCTGGATCCAGCTCCTTTCCCAGACTCCCGGCATTCCCGTGCTTCCCAACCTTTTTCCAGGTTCTCCTCCAGGCCCCTCCTGTCTCCTCCTGTCCCCTGGGTCCCCCATGTCCCCTCCTGTCCCCTCCTGCCCACTCATATCCCCGTTTATCCCCCCCCATTCTCCCCGTTCCGGATCCAGCTCCTTTCCCAGACTCCCGGCATTCCCGTGCTTCCCAACCTTTTTCCAGGTGCTCCTCCAGGCCCCTCCTGTCCCCTGGGTCCCCTCCTGTCCCCTGGGTCCCCTCCTGTCCCCTGGGTCCCCTCCTGTCCCCCCATATCCCCCATATCCATTTATCCCCCCGTTCTCCCCATTCCGGGCTCTCTCCCCCTGGATCCAGCCCCTCTTCCCACTCCAGCCATTCCCACACTTCCAACCTTTTTCCAGGTTCTCCTCCAGGCCCCTCCTGCCCCCTCCTGTCCCCTGGGTCCCCTCCTGTCCCCTGGGTCCCCTCCTGTCCCCTGCTGTCCCCTGGGTCCCCTCCTGTCCCCCG